AGACAGATAGATAACTGAAGGGATAAATTAGGAAGAGGGAGAGACAAAGGATTTCTTGTTGAGCAGAGGAGAAAGACACTGAAGAAAAGTTAGGGGAAAAAGGGGTTACAGGAAAAGAAAAAAAGGGAGGGAGAAGAATGAATCACCACAGCATACACTATAATGGCAATAGCAAATTGGCAAGTTTTTGGGGGCAAAACTTCATATGTTTATTTAAAAAGGAGGGGCCCCATGGGATCTTAAGACCCCTTATCATGGCTTTATGGATGATCCAGGAAAGCAGTCTGGGAGCCAGCGAACTTAGACATTTCCATTAGATACAATATAGAATGAAACTGCTCTAATTTTGTTATCAGTTCTATACACCTAATAGGACATATATAGGAAATTGAGAGTCATTTAAATAACTACATTTCAGCTGGTCTACTACTCCAAATGCATTTAAAAAAAAAACAACTTGGACAAGCAAAATATGAGATTTAGTCACTTGGAGATGGATGTATATAGTAAATATTATAATTGAACATAAAAAAACTACAGAGACTCTTTGTTCCAATGGAAAAAATGTTTTAAAGTGTCACAGTACACACCCATCCTTCTTTGAAGTTATAGGTGGAATGAAAAACATTTCCCTGTGGCTAGTACATGCTCAGTCTACTACCCCCACCCCACCAAAAATTTTATGAAGAAAGCTTGTGGGCCATGTTTAAAAGTGACTCCTCAATAGCCCATTCAAGACACTTCACTAAGGTGCAACTTTCAGCTGTCTGATCCACTGTATATTAGAGTCCCCAGTGAGAACCTCACATTAGTTTCATGCTGTTGCAAGTCCACTGACTTCTTATACTTTACCTACTTATTATACATATCTGAAAGCCAATCCAGAACGGACACAGAGTTGGTACAACCAACAGTAAACCAGAGGAGCACAATACAAACAGATTAAGCTAGAAAGACAAACAAGAATACCTTAAGCAAATCAATCTCAGCGGGTCTACTTCCAGCTCTGTAACTCAGAAGGCCTTCAGAAATTTAGAAGGCCTTAGAAAAGTGATTATCCAGCCCTGAGGAATGCTCTAAGTCTAGACAGTGTGGGAGCACATTGCATCAAACTGGTGGCTGTGGTAAATCACAGAGTTAAGAGCAGCTCCAAAGGTTATTCTAAAAATTATGCTGAGGACTGCACAAACCCAAAATCCCAAAAGCAACTAAAGCTACCATATGTATGGCTGCTTTTTTGTTTCCATTATACTTTGGGGGGAGGTGCAAAAGGATCTGGCTTACACACACTAACACAGGGGTTATCAACCAAAAGGTTGAAAACCCCTGCACTAACACTTGGGGCTAAAACTGAGGGAACCAAGTGCCCTGTCTGGACCCCACTGCATTTTCTCAGAATTGCCTTTAAAAAAGGCTAGGACTCCTTAACGTTATTAAGCTGCTGCATTCAATCTTACTTTAGTTAAGAATCAGAGGAAGACAGAATATGCAGAAACCCTTAACCAGCAAACTGCTAAAGGCAAATAAAGAGTGCTAACCTGATAAACACGTCATCAGTCCTAAGGCAAGCATGGCACCAGCCAGTACAGTCAAACGATTATAACGCATCGCCATGATAGCTGCAATAAAGAAGGTCTTGTCCCCCAGTTCTGATACAATGATGACTGATATAGCAGCTACAAAAGCATGAATAAACCCCAAATTTGTCTTGTCAGCTGATTCTTCATTTACGGGAGCAACTGCTGTAGGCCCCTTCTGCAAGCAAAGAAAATAATAGAATTACCTCAGCTGAACATTTAACTTGGGAAAGAATTCACCTCTAATTTTCTCCTGTTAGACTATTATCCTCTGGTACTTTTGATAAAGTATTTTGATGCATGATTACCTAGTGCTAGCAGATAGCCATTCAGAATATGCTGATCAATCATTAACCTCTGACATCCTGCTCTGATTAATAAAGGAATACCACCTTTGTACAGATTACAGTATGACTGCATGACAGTCACTACTACCCTGAAAGAGGGAAAGCAGATTCAAGACGGGTGCAATACTGCAGTTTACAATGCTCACATCCTCCCCTTCCAACTTTCTAATATTTTGGCAGCTCAAATGAGACATTTTGGTTAATAGTGATTTAACAGCATTAGACCATAATACTGTTAGATGTCCAATGTAACTGGTATTGGTAGAGATTCAGAACTCTACCATGATGTATTGACAGAGTCAGAACTTCCTGAATTTTAACTGTCTAATAACTTTCTTCTCCCCAAATTCCATCACCTTAGCAACACTGAAGTTCTTATCAAAATGAAACACTTGTGCGGAGAGTCTCCTTTAAAAAGAAAGCCTTTACTTTTGCCAGATAAAGGTGATCAAATTCTAGACCTAGACCACAAGTTAGAACATACACTAATGGAATTGAAAAAGTGATTAAAATTAAGAAGCTAGCTAGAATTGTTAAGGGACATGTTAAAGTGGCCAATCTTTTCTGGATCAAGATTGCTAACTTTAAAAAAAAAAAAAAAAAAAATCACTAACACAAAAATTCATTTACAGCTCAGATTTCATACTACATGCACTAAAGCATATCAAAGATTTTTATGAATTAGTGAACTGCTAAAAATGTGCCAATCCAGGCAGGGATAATGAAACTGAAGCGCCACAAAATTTGTCAAATTTTGAACTCACTTCCAAAGTGAAAGATAAAAGCCAGCAACAAGGCCCAATTCAAGCCAGAAATAGGTTTTCATTTGATTTAAATGTCAAAAAGACCTGGAGAGGTCAGTTCCCCCTTACCAGCACATAAGCAAACATGTCTTTATCAGATAAATGCTTTCTACTAAATGACCAGAATTTTATAGTCAAGTTTTGCTGACTACTGTAGAATCAAATGCCATCTTCCCCAACTTCATGTTTGAGTTCAGTGGACTATTCTCTAAAAGATAAGAAGGTCTAACCACAATTTGCTTTAAAATTTTAAGATATTTTAAATAAACATCAAGGATAA